CGAGATAATAATGCAGTGATTTCTATGCAGAGACTGTTGATTATTTACATGGACATGTTCGAATTTATTTAATTAAATTTTCATACAGGAATAAATGACATACTTCCATCATTGTGGTTAGACATGAAGTAATTTTTTAGTGTTTTATGTTGCAGCTCTCTGATGACTGGAGTAGTCTTTGTCCAAAAAGCTTTATTGTATTTGAAGCTCAAAACTCAAAACGGGCTCCTTTCCCAGTCTGTGTCTTGCTGTGGAGGTGGAGTTATGATGTGTTCAGGAACACAGTAAAAAAAAAATAAAAAAAATCCTGTTTCCCGATATTCACCTATCAGTGTCATCTTGTAAACACCAATACTATGAAAAATGAACCGTTTAGATTGAACCATAGAGGTATGATCTTTGGATTAAGCATACACCAAAAGTATACTAATAACTGTGGAAAGCCTTTGAATAGTTAAACATAAAAGCAGCATATTCATATATAAGCTGAGACTCAAAATTGTCTGATGGGCATGCATTATTACTATTGTTTTCCAATGTTAACAGATGGGCTCTGATCTGCTTTATTCTGTCACTGAGAAGTTAAGAATCTGACAAACTTCCGCTTTGAACTGTTATTTTTCAGAAACTGGTAACTTATGAAAGGAGAGTCAACACACATATTCAAATCTCCAGCTTCCTTCTGTAAATGTATCCCCCTCTTTCGTTTTCATTCATCTTTAAAAGTGCTGCATTTTTTATAAACAGATAAACCACATTTTGCTGAAAGATTAAAGTCTCTAAACACTTTAAAGACCTCGGCAAAGAGTAAATTTAAAAACTCGGCTTCAAAGAGATTCAGAGATAATCTCTCTCACACTCCGGCCTTCTTTACTGGCTGATCATAAAGCCAATCTGGAGTCCGTCTCTCCTGGCAGAACTAAAATATGGACGTCTTGAATGAGACTAAAGGTCACTGGAGTTTGATCTGTCAGACACGTTTAGCTCCTCACAGCCGCTGACCTTTGTCACCGCTCAGCGATTCTGCTTCAAACACGACACAGTTCAGATATGAAGAAATATAAATTCATGTTAATGTGGGATCCTTATTTCAAAAATGTTGTGGGTTATATTAGCTTTCTGCAAATGTGTTAAAATAAACACGATGATGACAATGATGTTTTATAACACTTCACTGATGTTGAAAAAATATTGTTTCTTTGCCAATTATTTTATTTTATTTTATTTTTTGGTTTGTTTTCACGAAGCAGAGGTTATGGTTGTGGAGCAGCTGCCCTTGGAGTTTTTTCTGTTTGGGTTTCTGCTGCTGCTGAAAGACTGCTCAGCAGGGGAGACTTCTTCCAGAATGGAGGGGTTGAAACAGAGACCCTCGGGCTGTTTTCAGCCTCTCTGCTGACTCACATGACAAATTTACAGCTGAAGTGAAGTTGCAGTAAAGTAACACTGAAGCAACTTCTCTTCTCCTCAAAATAATGTTTGTAAATAAAAACTATACTGGGACATCTATCTATTAGGGGTGCAACAATACCGAAAATGCACGATTAGGTTCGATATTTTAGTCTCACGGTTCAATATTTTTTTGATACAAAAAAGAGAAATTTCCGCGCCCTTTTTAACTTGTAATTGATTTAAATTAATTATAAACATTTGTTGAACCTCAAAAGTACAGTTTTTTTTATTAAATGTTGCTGAAACAGCAAGTTTCTCGGTGGATCTGCACACGACGATGCAGTCAAGGTGGAGTAGTCGAACACAGATCCACTGATCCTTCAACACAGAGCATCTTTAGAGAAAAAGTTGATAAAATAAATGTAAAAAATCTGTATTGTTCAATACAAGTGTGTATTGAAGCTAAAGCACTGTATTGAATGGTTCGATACGGGTACATGTATTGTTGCACCCCTACTAATTATATATTAGCTGAAACTAACAGGTATTGAGCTATAATGTGGTAGTAGCTGAGAGTCAGCCTCAACACTTGATTTTCAATCCTTCCAACTATAAAATAATACAAGAATTTGTCACAAGGTTCAAGTTAAATCCAG